AACCAATTACAAGGATCTACATATAACCTCCTCCCTGGGGGATGGACAACAGAAAAGTGGGTGAAAAGAGACGTTGGACAGTGTAAAATATGACAAAATAATAACTTATGAATTATGAAGGGTTCATGAGGGAGGGGTTAGTGGGGAGGGAGGGGGAAAATGAGGAACTGATATTAAGGGCTCAAGTAGAAAGTAAATGTTTTGAGAATGATTATGGCAACAAATGTACAAATGTGCTTGACACAATGGATGGATGGATGGATTGTGGTAAGAATTGTATGAGCCCCCAATAAAATGATTCCTTTTTTTTAAAAATGGGCCCAAATTAAAGACTCTTGGCTACATTTATGTAGAGTGGAAGTGATGTGAGTCCTGCCACTCAGCACCTTTCTGAGATTCAACCACATCACAACCTGTCTGTCCCGGACGCACACTCCGCCCGCCTCCTCTACAATGAGGAAGAGGGATCTAACAGGAACCAGGCATGCAAATAGATATCCAAACGCCCTAAATACCCGCACTATCTATATATCTTACATTTATATATATCGTACATTTAAATATATATTTATATTATATTTAATATATATATTTAAATGTAAGATATATATAACTTACATTTCAACGTCTAATTTAGCTTAATTCTAGAACTCCAACTCACTTCCGGCTCTTTTCCAAGTCCATCACCCTCAAGTAAAGCACTGTCAGTGAGGACACACACACGACTGTAGAGGTCTGTCTCCAACCTTTAATAACCAGCATGAGAGACTCACCTGAGCTATTTTTCCTGCTGTGGATCTCGAATATCCCAGATGGAGACTTGACGATGCTGCTGCCCCCCACAGGAGGCTCGGGAGGACTCTGTGGCTCAGGACTAGCTTGTGAATGCTCTGTCACAGTGTGGGGGCTGTCGCCTGCCTCTGGAGTCAAATACCCACATGTTACTGAGCAGAAACCACACCGATTTTTATGTTTTTCTCTCCAAGTTAGGGGAAGGGGTGCATACGTGACTATTTTATTATTGATTTATTGTCTCTGATTAACCTTATGCCATATATGCTACCAAGACGGACTGAAATCGATCGCTTATTTTCATACAACCAAACTAGCTTAAGCATTCCTGGGTGAATCGATTAAAGCTCTGGTCCTCAGTTGTCCCCTCATTGTGTGGGACTAGGCAGGAGGGACTTGTTGGAACTTCATTCTACAAGTGTCTTTCCCAAAGGAAGGAGCCTTGGCAACATAGTGACTACATACTGGGTTATACCTTGGGCTGCTGACCTCGAGGTTGGAAGTTCAAATCGACCAGCTGCCCCATGGGAAAAAGATGAGGCTTTCTACTCCTGTAATTATAGCAGTCTTGGAAACCCATAGGTATGATTCTACCCCATCCTGCAGGGTTTCCATGAGACATGACTGACTCAACAGCAGTGGGTTTGGGTTTTTTTTATTTGGAATATCGGTTTTAAGACTGAACATTTAATCCTGGTTTTGTCACATTACCAAATGAACACCTCAACTGGGTTGCACTTCTCTGCAAAATGTAGTCTGCAGGCGCCTCTTTCAGTTTAAACCTTGAGACTGTTGAGGGCTACCTTACAAAATAGTGCATATGAGCCAGGCCGTGTGTTTGTGAAAGTTATCGCCAACATGATCAAATAAGGTCAGTTTTCATGAACACCGGTCATCCTGAGAACTGCTAGTAAATATCAGCACTTAACCTGTGTGCACTTTCATGTTGGCGGTCGATTGCGTGGCTGCATCTTCTTCAGGCACAGGAACTTCTGCATCACCCTTTATCAGTTCATCCTTAGACCCATAGCCCTGGTCCGACTGGCCACCTGTGAAAAAGAATACATACAGGGTCAAACGTACAAGTCTCCATATACTTCTACCTATAAACCACCCAGAGGAAAAATGCACTGCTCTACAACACACGATGGTTGAACTTGGAGAAACAGATGACGAGAAAGCCCACGAAGCACACGGAGCATTTCGAACAACGAGAAGAAGCGAACAGCAGCAGAAACAGGAGCGTCAGAGGCTGAAGACCATTACACACTTGGCAGCACTCCACCTCAATTTCCTTATCTGTAACGAAGACAACTGGCCGAGATGTTTTGCAAAATTTCATTGAGGCCATGTCGACAGCACGCTACCTTGTGCATCTGACAAGAACAGCGCCCATCAAGCACACATCTCTTTGCACACATCTCTGCTTGCTTTAGCTAAAAGAGATGTAGGCAGAAAACAAATGGGTTACCTAGAAGAGATGGGGAGGGGGAATGGGGAGAATGGGACAAGGGAAGAAGGAAACTTCTCTAAGCACCGCTCTTTGTATTACTTTTAATTTGGGGAGCTGTACTCATTTTCTACATATTAAAAACCTCCACGGCCACAAGGGGCAGGGGGGAGGGCTAACACTGAGCGCAAGCAGCAACTGGGTGGCACGACACCAGCTGTATTTCACATGACCACACTGAAAGGATGGTGAGCGCATGAGTGCAAGCCACTGGTGAAGGCAGTATCCGGAGCAAGTGCTCCGGAAGCACTGGGATGGGTGAGCGAGTCCTGAATTCTTGGGGTAGGCTTTTTCTCACGGGGAACTAGGCAGAGTAAGAGGTGCGCAGTGGGACTGCAAATGAGGGCACGGAGCCTGCTGATGTAGCTGAGATGACAGACTGCCACTGCTCAACGAGAGGCTTTATGAGAAGGAATGAGCAAAGGCAAAGAAGGGCCTGGGGTGGGTGGATCGGAATCGAAAGCATTTCTGAAGCAAAACCTATTTTCTAGCTCGACCTGCTCAAAGAACGAAGAAGCAACCACACCTTAGTGGCAGTGAGCACAACTACAGCCGGATTTGGTTTTCTAAAACCTACTTCCCACTTAAAGGAGGCTGAGCCCCTTGAAGAAATGACTGGTTCCAGAGCTCAGGCAGGGAAGGTTCGAGATGAGTCAGGTGCCAGCAGGTCCATGTGGTCACAGAAAGGAAGTGCTCAGACATGCCGGGAAACACGGGCAGAGGAGCCGCTCAACCGCGGTCCCGCAGGCCAACACTGAGAACTAACAGGCTCACATTTACACTGTTTGTAGAGTCCACTAAATAAACTAGAAACCCACACGTTCATAGTGATCGTAAGGATAAGTAAGGGGGGGGGGGGGAAGGAAGGGGAAATTATTCCATACAACAGACCGTCCTCTTAATCACTACAGGGGGTGGCAGAGTTGGAAAAATTGCCCATTTTGCAACCATCATTGTGAAGATCCGGTCAAGGAAGCATCACTACTGGATGCTAAATTCATAAGAGAAACTGGGATGAGAAAGGAGAGCTTCCAAGGTCTGAGAGAAGGGTTTCCTCACAGGTTGCTTATTACCTGCGAAGGGAGAGCAACAACTATGCAGAGAGAAGCCAGGTAACACTGCAACCTGGGGCTCACAATGCATCCACATGCGGAGCAGACAGACAGGATGCACCTGTGGGACGAACAGGCGAGGAGGGCACACCATCGCTGCGCAGCACAGCCTAATCCCGAGACACCACCACACAACGCAAACGGAGGAAGTGTGTGCAGAGCAGCAGAAGTGAGCTTACAGAGGTCACGCCCTGCAGGACGGAGCACAGCTGCAGACGTTAGGGAAGCAAAAAGAAGGGGGCAAACAGTACTACCCAGGACAGTGGGGAACGGGCCAAAAACAACTATGGGAGAATTGGTTCCTAAGTGAAAGCAGTCAACAATGTTTTCCTGAATGTAATCATTATTAACTGCTTATGGAAGTGAAAATACTTTTGAAGTATTAAGAGATTAAGGGGGAAAGGGCATGAAATATGCAATTCTCTTTCAAATGATTTGGAAAAATAGTGCTTCAGGTAAGAGGAATAAAGCAATTATGTAAAACCAAAACAACGAATCTGGACAAAGTACTGCGAGTGTCTGGTACTATGCTTGCAAATTGACTAACAAATGGTTTCTAAAATAAAATATGCAGGACCTTCCAACTTCTACCATTTACTCAATTGCCCTCCAACTCTGGGTCTGTCATCTAAGGAGAGAATTAACTTCAGTCACATTTTCACTGGCCCCTCAGGCAGCCGCAGGGAACATGAACTGCACATTGGACTGGGCACTAGGTAAAGTAATCAAACCCAGATAAGTCCCTAACAAGCAAGTGACTCAGTATCAGGTACCAAGTGGGAAGATACTAGGAAACAATCCTTAAGGAAAAGAGCAACTCAAGCCTCTGGCTGGAAGCCTCCCAAAGTACCCCATGGCATCACCAGACACCCCACAGAGATGCATGATCAACAGTGATTTCAGCATCTGGGCTTCCTTCCTGTCAAGCGCAGCTGAAAAGAAAGAAAGGAACACAGAGCCTGGCCTCAAGGCTCTTCCTCAAATACTGGAGTCTGCAGACCAGTTCTCAGAACGGCCCAAGGGCCATGTCTCCCATCAACCGACTATGCTGACTCACTAATGGGAGAAGCTCAAATATTTATACAGTGGTGATGATTATTATTTTTATTGTTCTTGTTAAACTGGTCTCAACACAAAAAATCATTGTCCTGGTTTTTCATAAGTGAGATAGAGCCATTTCTCCGGTAACTTTCAAAACAAAATTCCAACAGGTAAAAACGTGTTGAAATAAACCTAAGTGAAATAAGCTAGCTTTAACGTGAAGGTCCCATGAAAAATCCCTACCTGTGGACACAAGTTACATAACAAACACAATCACACATGACAGTCTTATGCTGACGTTCACGGATTTCTATGTGCTTACGTAGCGTGGCTATGAACTCACATCGATTCGATGGAAGGAGTTTGTTTGGGGGTGGGTTTTTTTTAATCGATGGTAATTTTACTGCAAGAATTCCATGGAGCAGTTCCGGAAGGCCGAAACCACCTTAACAGCTCCTTATAGACAATGATTCTATAATTCTACTAATTCCAAAATGCTCTTAACATCATTTGACAAACATTGCTACAAACCAACCTCAAACTAGAAACTTAAGTATATTTTTGAATTCATTAAAAATATGCAACCATGAAATGGTAATTGGATATTATCGCTAGAGTTTATACAATGACACTTATCCGAAGAAACCAAGAAAACGTATTGTTTTCTACTAGTTACATACACTTAAAATACAGCATAAGGTATCTCCCCCACCCTTGCACGTCAGCAATATTTAACCTAATAAATAGGAAATTACCTGAAGTAGTTAACATTCAAGGGTAGAATTAGTGCACACGTGTATCCATGGCTTCAGGTCATACACGTCTGTCTGCACCCCACACCATGACAGCCAAGGGCAAAGGCAGCCCCAAGAAACAGCACAGAGCAAGAAGCAGAGCGACAAAGAGCAGAGAAAAGGAAACTTCAGTCACGGAGACACAGTTACGAGAAGCAGCACAGGAGTAAGACTCCGAATTTTTTTTTTTTTTTTTCAAGAAAAGCTCAAGATATTAACAACAATACCACCACCACCAACAATACAACAACAACACAAGAAGAGAGTACGACATACATGTATATGATCCGCCCAACCTGCTGCTTTACTTTTGCTTATTTTGAATTTTAGGGGACTGGTTGTGGCCATAGTTAGACAAATGTGGAAAAAAAACAAACTTCTGAGACTGGCCAGATTTAAAGATTTTCCATTTAAATTAATAACTATACAAATCTTTTCTTAAAATATGACTTATTTTTTTCTTCACATTCATATCACCTCAATGATTTAGGGTAATATTCCTTTCGATGGAAAAAAGGTTTGCAATATAATCAAGCTCGTTAGGAACCATTCCTAAAGACTTTCCTACAAATTGGTGATGAGCACACAGAGACGGCTTCAGAAGACCCACACTGGGGCTTTGTGAAGAGCACTCTCCATGGGTCATGTGATGCGACAGGAAGTTCAGGGACGTTGTCATCGAGGGGAGGGCCCTATCTCTTCCTCTTACTCATACTGAGCACTTGAAAAGCGATATTCATGTCGCACAAACTTAAGAAAGGAAACGCTTGGTAAGACAGACAGACAAGCACCACGTGGACATTAAGTCAAGATTCGGCCACATCCAGGCTTTCATACCTGTGCTAGAGTGGGTACCAGAGGAATCCAGACTGATGAGGTCTCTCACGAAGACCGTGTGCTCCCCACTGTTGGCGTCAGTCGAACTATCCACACTACCATGGCTCAGCGTGTCCCCGTCACTCCCGCCGGCAGTACCCCGTGGAGCTAAAGATAAGGACGGCAGTTCAAAGGCCCATGCAACAATCATTTCTGACAGGAAATATGAATGCACTACACTTCACTTTAAAAAGTTTCAGAACACATTCTAAAGACATTTTTTGAAAAAGCATTTGGGACAAAATGAGTGACAGCTAACTAGATGGCAATGAATTTGGTTTTAATCTATGTCATTACCCAACCACAATTCTCCTTCAAACAGTTAAAAGTCCATATGCCCACAACGTTTAGGAATCAACAACAAGCATCTTTCCAATCACGTGCATTACCTGACACGGAGGAGACCTGTGCCTTGGGCACAGTCTTTTTAAGTGGCTGTCTGAACTGTGCCAAGCCACGCACCACATTCCGTACCTTCGTCCATAAGAAGATACCACTGCGGGTACTGCTAGGCCAGGCACTCTCCAAAACGACCTAAAGGTAACAATCATGTTTATTAGGAGTATGTCCCCCTCAAATATGCATGTGCGCGCGCACGCGCGCGCGCACACACACACACACACACACACACAGAATTACAGCTCTAAAATAGCCTCCAGAGAAATGTCATGCATAAAAGTTATGTAAAAAATCATTCCTAATAAGCAACGTGTATTTATTGCTTAGTTTCAACACTACTTACCTTATTATAGTAACCATATGTAATGGCATTTGGCTTTATCTTAGCAGTTTTCATTTCAAACAGGACTCTCACTGCTAAAACGGGGTGGCCCCAAAGTCCACAGAGCTGCATTACTACTCGATAGCACACCTGATCAAAAAATATCACAGATCAATTGTCGGCATGTTGGTTTGTGATTCGTAGATGCTTTTAAAACAACGCTTTCATTCTTCACATAAGGTCATCAGAATCACTACTTTCTCCTTGGTTCTTGTTTGAGAGGGTCACTAAGTTATTTTATGGCCTCTGCATTAATGGCAATACCAATGCTTCTAACGACTTCAAGACAGACCGATACGCACACGTTCCATTTGTTTGAGTAACTTACTCTATACAAATAAGATTACTAATATTCTCCATAATTTGAAAAGGAATCCTTTAAAAATTGAGTATCCTTAGAAATATCTCTCAGCCCAAGGTTATAGAATTAGTGGGCACTGGACATTGGCTCGGACCTCTTGGTGGCCGGAAACTACCGGAACTATTTACTGCCCTCCTTGCTTAATTATGACACACATTAATTAATCTGGGAGGCATGACCGCTGTTGTGAATGAATTTTATTGTAAGATCTGTCTTATCATCACCCCCCATTGGTTATGTAAATAGTATCTAGTCACTGAAAGAGTTCAATCTGTACAAGTCAGCAATTCATGTACTATAGTTCATAGCTAGCCTATACTCTTAGAATTTCCTTTTCTCCACACTGTTTTAAATTCTATGCCACTGGCTACATTAATGACTATCCATGCATAGTGGTTACTATGAAGATTTGCAGGCTCAGAGACTCAAAGGGGCAGTTCTACCCCTCCCTACAGGGTCTCTATGAGTCAGCATTGACTTGAAGGCAGTGGAAGTGATTCCCCAGGGGGAGGATTGATAATGCTCTCTAACATAAAATGACAGTGATGCTTCTAAAGTGAGCATTTGGGATGAATGGATTTGGGATTTACACTTAATTCTAATCCCAATCTAAGAACAAGTAATTCTCATTACATGTCCATGCTTGATGCTCACCCTCATGAAAAGATCACTAAAGATATGGGTGCTATAGCAAAGTGTGGTGAAGAAACTAGATGGTGCCTAGCTATCAAAAAGAATAGTGTCTGGGGTCTTAAAGGCTTGTTTTTAAACAAGCAACCATCTAATTGAGGTGTCAACTAAATTCACATGGAAGAAGCATACAGCCTGAGTTATATTATACATAATATAATCCAAATCCAAACGAAGGAATGTATTCAAAGCTTAAATTGTGAACACCTGGCTTGCAGAAGGCTATGGATGACAGTGGAAGCCCAAAATCTACTTGCAGGGCTCACACATGGATTAAGCCTATGGGTGGATGCCCTCCGATCCTGGTTGAGGGGTGTGAAAAGCGCTGCTGACAGAGGACACTATAAAGTTAATTATGGCAAACATAATTAGGTCATAAGGTAATACTTTCTTTTCTTGTTATAAACCGTTTTATTAGGACATAATCCAAATATTATACAATTCCGTAGTTCAAGCATATCAAGAAGAGTTAGTTGTAAAATCGATAATACAATCAATTTTAGAACATTTTTTCTTTTTTGTACTCCTTGTTATTATCTCTCCATTTCCTACCAACTTCCCCTTGCTGTACTCCCAAGGAAGCATCCAACGAATGTTTGCGTAGTCACCCATTCTGGATTTATGTGATCCCCCGCCCCCCATCCTTTGGACCCATTTTAAAGCTGACTTATTTGGGGCGGGGGAGGGTGGGGAGAATGAAGGGGAAATACACATGGAGTCAGCTCTGGGGAATCTCCTCTGATCTGCATTGGAAAAGTGGACTATAGCAGATGCAATTAGATTAAAATTTAGCACCCTGTCACTTGCTCTCCCTTATGATCCATCTAAATTAGTTTTAATTTTTTTTTCTGCTTTCCTTTCAATTGAGGGGTTTTGTTATTGTTGTGAGGTTTTGTTTTTCTAATGTTTTTCTATATAGATAAATCTATACAGATTAATAGTTCCTTGGAGGTATAGCAAGGAAGATTGGGGAGACATGGGGAAATAGTAATGATGAGTACAGGGATGAAGAAAATGATCTAACACTGGTTGTGGTGATGAACGCACAACTCTTCTGGATGTAACTGGTCAATTGGATTTTATGACATGTGAACTAGATGCCAACAACACAGTAAAACAACAAAACTTCTCTGTCCTGTTTCAGTCTAAGTCAACGCAATCACAGACGGCATTTTCATGATGCCTGTATAACAATAAAGGTCCTATAAACCAAGTAGGCTGTGCTATTATTAGCAAAGGCTTTTTTGAAGACTTGTGTTTTCTAAAGAGGATAGATTTGATCATAAGAGGACAAGTCTGCTGGGAATCTCTAAGTTAGAATATCACAAACGGGAAGAGGATAAAAACCACATGGAAAGAAAGAGCATCCTCAAGTATGTCCAGCAAGCAGGGAGCTGGTTTGCATGAACCCTGACGTGGCAGCGTCCGACTACAGCTGAGCACGTTCATTTGAGAGTAAGAAAGCATATGCAGGTAGAAGACACTCTGACGGGGCTTCTCAATTGGCTGCTGCGCTTTCCCATGTCTGCCCCGAGATATGTGAGGCCACCCTGAGTCGGATCAACCCAACATCAACGGGACGCTTTCCACAAAGTCAAAACTGGAACTGGGCTCTCTTCCTCTGAATCTGCATTTTCAATTCTATTCTGGTTCTAAGTATTATTTATATTAACATGCAAAATTTTTTTAAAGAGAAAGGCTAACAAATGCTTGTCTCACGTTCCCTTGACTGTGACTGAACAATACTATTACTACCTACCTGGGAGCCGGTTCGGAGGCTGAAGAGAGGGTACACATGTGAAAGGATAGGAAGACACCCTTCCTATGAGCCATGCACTGCTGCAGGCCCTTTACACAGATTGGCTGATATCAATCACATTAACTTTATGTGGAAGGTAACAAAGGAACCATCTTTTATCATCTACAGTGGTGGTTCTCAGTGGGGCAATCTGGGTCTCTTGCGACTTCTAGCCACGGCTGGAGACATTTTAGATAATCACAACTAGGGTAGTGAGCGGGGTAAGCGGGGGAGATTACTACTGGCACCTGGGGTGGGTGGTAGCCAGAGATGCACCCTACAATGCACACCTGGACCACCAACCCTGCTGCCATTAAGTGACTCTCAACCCACAGCGACCCCTAGAGGACACAGTGGAACTGATCACTGGGTTTTTTAAGAATGGAAATCTTCATAGGCCAGACAGCTTCATCTCTCTCCCACAGAGCAGCTTGTGGGATTGAACTGTGGAACTTCCAGTTAGTTATCAGCCCAATGCCTACAGGCCCCATGATAATGTGGTATACAGGGCGCAGTGTTAATGATACTAATGTTGAGAAAAATCTGATCTACATTTTCAGATGAATAATTTGGAAAATGGAGAACCTATATACGTAACTCAGTCTAGGGCACAGACTCCAGATGGTATACAAAACCCTATTCTGTACTTACTCCCTAATAAAGTTACATTAAGAATAAAATGAAGTCAATAGTGTTTTTATTTATCAAAGTAAACATCGTGGTCTTAGTAAAAAGGTCTCTGCTACATTTTAGAGTAGAGGTTTTAAAATTTATATGCTTTAAAATACACAATGAAGACAAGGAGTAAGTAGGATAAGTGATATTAAACTGTGGGGATTACAATAAATAACATGAAACAATGTGTATGAGTTATTGAGTGGGAAACTGATTTGCTCTGTAAATTTTCACAATTAAAAGTTTAATAAAAATGTTAGCTGTATGAAAAAGAATATTACTTTTATCTTCCTGTGTAATTAAAAAAATGTTTGCCAAATATTTAAAACCTAATTTTTTTTTAGAAAGACAAAAATGAAATGTATCGTGGCGACAATGATTCGTGATACTTGCCTCATCCAGTGGGTCCACGTCGGTTTTTCTCATCTTAATAAGCACATCATATGCCTCCTGAAGTGCTCGGACCTTGAGATGCGAAACTCTGACATAGGCAGGGAGGCAGATAAACCACAAGCTGTAACAGTGACTGAACAGACACTTGGCCCACTGTGGTGGATTTGTAAAACATCTCTTGGCCAATTTGTGAGCTGTCTTTATTTCCTAAAAAGAGAATAAATAAAGATAGTAAGATATTTACTAGAACAAGGGGAAGTAGGGTTAGAAGCAAGAAGGCAGAGATCATTTTCACACGTAAAATTTGACCCCCAAATCAAGTATTTCATGATTTTATTTCTGTAAGTGGCTTTCTACTTACTGGCTTTCTCTAAGGTTCTCTGAACACCTATCTACAGTAGTGCACTATGCTACACTGCTGTATACCATGAAGCTTGTTTCTCCTAGGAGATTAGAAATTCACAGGGTCAGAGAGCATTCACACTCAAACACAGAGACACTCGTACTTATCTGCTGGATGAAGGTATGACTAAAACCAAATCCTGCAGACTTAACTATGCGTTTCTGAGTTCCTCACTCCCATCCTGAAGCCTTCCCACCTCCTTCCCCTTCCTGCTAACATTTAAGTGCCTTGGGTGACTTCCCACCCAGATTTCCAGTCTACTCTCTGCAGGCATTCACAGCAAGCACTCACTGCCACGGACCCAACCGGGATTCACCGATTCTGTAACTCGCATACCCACCCCACCGCGCAGGGATTGGTTGGTCTTCCCTCCGAGTGAGCTCATGTCTCCCTCATTAGAACATTTCTTATGTTGTCAAAAGATCTCTTTGCTTCACTTGAAAAACAAAACTACTTATTCTGTTGCAAGCAATGTGGTGTGGAGAAGGCTTGTTTGAGAATTCTGAAATCGACTTCTGACTTCTACTCTGGTTCCGGTGGGAGACGGAACAGGTGTCAAAAGCATCTGAGTTTATTCAACTAGACACGCTCCCAGAAACCCCAAGCCGCTCCCTCAGTCAGACTGTCATGTGTGCCTCCACACTGCTAAGGTGTTTCTTACATAAAAATGCTTTCTTATATAAGAGATCCTGTTGTGTGGATTTTACTTGTGAGCTTTCTCTCCATGAGACTGGAGATATATTTGAAAATGTACCCCCATGCTTTTCCTAGGATATGACAGTGCTTTTCTTCTTCAGAGAGCCTGAAAAAGAAAAGTTCTGGTAAAAATGAGACTTAGAAAGTTAAGCAGCAAAATGTGATTTTAGAAAAGGGCTTCTATTAAGCTGGTAACAGTAAAAAAAAATTCTTTGGTTTCTCCTTCAGAAAACATAAAGGGAAACATGAACATTCTGAAACTAGAGTAACAAGATCACCTCTGAGACTTGGGGGGCTATCAGAGAACAGGTAAACTGTTAACTAAGACCAGATTTCAAAGATTCCCCCAAATACCGTAAATGTACAAAGCCTGCTTAATTTTAAGCTCCCCTAATGATAAAGTAATTTGTTTCATCTAAATCAAGTGGTAGAAAAGCATTTTTATAATTAGCAGTCAGGGAAAGAAAATCAAAATCCCAATAAATGGCCCTTCACGGTCCAGGCTGTACTAATTTCCCTTTTGTTAAAATGCATCCCTTGGTAAAAAAGGGCACCGGCTTTAGCCACCAGTGAATGCAGACCCAACCACAGTAATGAGAGAAACTACCTCACAACCACTCAAATAGAAACAGAACGAGACAAACGAAAACCAGTGACAAGGGCTGATGAGAACGTGGAGAAATTGGAGCCCTCCCTAGAACAATGGTGCAGCCACTTTGGAGAACAATTGCACGGTTCTTGGAAAGGTAAACACCGAGTTACCAGGACAAGCTCCCAGGTATACAAATGAAAACATACAGCCACACATATATTTGTACACGGTGTTCACAGCCGCATGACGCCAAGAGCCAAAACATGGGAATCTTCATCCAAATGGTCCATTCAGTGATGAATGGATAAACAATGTGGCACTTTGCATAATAAAATATTATTTGGCAATAAAGAGAAAGGAAGTCCTGATCTATGCTGCCATATGGATGAGCCTTGAAAACAGTCTGCTGAACAGCCATGGATGTGAAAGGTCAAGAGGAGGCAAATCAGCAGACAGGAAATTGCTTAGTGGCTGCCTAGGGCTGGAAGAAGTTCACAGTCAAGGGTTTGGGCTTTTTGAAAGAATGATTAAAAACGTCCTAAAATGGACGGTGGTGTTAGTTGTACAACTCTTTGAATATACTAAAAGTCAGCAGATAGTATATTTTAAATGGAGAAATTGTATGGTATACAAATTATACTTACATTAAGCTGGTTGTAAGTATGAGGAAGCTTCAAAAAGGTTTGTGGAAAAATGGAATAATAAAATTTTCCCACACTTTTTATTTATTTATTTTTATTTTTAATTGTTTTATTAGGGGCTCATACAACTCTTATCACAACCCAAACATACATCAATTGTGTAAGGCATATTTGCACATTCATTGCCCTCATCATTCTCAAAACATTTGCTCTCCACTTAAGCCCCTGGCATCAGGTCCTCTTTTTTTCCCCTCCCTCCCTCATGAGCCCTTGATTGTTTATAAATTGTTATTTTGTCATATCTTGCCCTGTCCGACGTCTCCCTTCACCCACTTTTCTGTTGTCCGTCCCCCCGGGAAGAGGTCACATGGAGACCCTTGTCATCGGTTCCCCCTTGGCAACCCCACACTCTTTTTATGCAGTCCTTTGTTTCTGTGGTTCCCAAAGATTCTCTGAAAGCACACACAGAAGCACTCCAAGGCCAGCCTCAATATTCTACGTAAGGTTGCACGCAATCTATTGTGATTCAACAGTAACTGTAGCTGGTCTCCACATGGCTGCTGAGGGTGACCATTCTAACCTCTGAGCTATGTATTACATACACACATTTGATATTTTACATTACCACGTATTAAGACAAATCGCATCTGACCTGTTTAGTTCTCTTAGCCATGAGAGCGGGGCTGTTTGTAACGCTATTTCCAGTAGGATGTCTACTAAAACAAAGTTTCAACTCCTGTGGTCTGTCAAAAAGCTTAAGGTCCAGTGTTGGAAAGTATTTGTAACTAAAATAAAAAGCAAAAATAGAACTGCTGATTTAAAATGCATCAACTCTTCACACTCTTCCAATAGTTTGTTATTTCTATGCCTCATATGGTACCTAGTATCACTCGCAAAATCCTTATAGAGGAAAGCATTTTTTCCCTTCAAATATTTAAGCTGAGGAAAGACACACAGACGACTCTCGTAGGAAACTTGGTTCCTCACCACCCCATTTATGACTGTGTCCCCACCGCCCCCCCCCCCATGGCTTTTCTGTCAGTCAACGAAACACCTAAGCTCTTACTTGACAGAGGAATTAACTCTTTCAACAGAACCCAAGTATTAAATGTCAACATATATTTAATAAATAATAGCTAGGACATGCTGTAATTTTAACTTTTCATAAGATTACCTTGCATTGGCATTAGAAAGAAAATATCCATAATAATTCAACTTTAGAGATATACCACAATTTAACCAATTCCTTAGTGTTGAATACTTTTGGGCTATTTCTGAGTTCTTTGTCCATATATGTTTGTATATGCCTCTGCTTAATTTCTTAGGATGAGAACCCAGTAACAGAGTTTGTTAGGGTCAGTGTTTATCAAAGACAATTAAAATTACTGTCATCACTGTCCAATTATTTTTTAGGAAGGTTATTCTTATATATATACCCCCACTATGAGCATACCCTATTCTCAATCTGAGCAATCTAGGTTAAAAATGCTTACACCCATTCTGTTAAATTCTAGAAAAGCTGAGCCTCTCTTCTTCATATTATAGACAGAACTTGTTCCTGAAAAATACCTAGTAATTTCTTGTGGTCAATTTTATTCTGGGAGATGTTGCTCTTCCCTGTTTGTCAACATGTGGATTCCAATTTATAGTCGGCAAAGTAAAATGAATTTTTTAGTAAAACATGAAATCAAAATAGTACTTAAATTACTAACTAAATAAGCCAATCCGACTTCATTAGGCCACTCTTTCCCTGTCCTGGTGAGCGCGTATTTCACATTCCCTCTGTCCCAGAATTTCTACTCTTAGGAATGCAGCCCAAGGAGAGAACCGTTCATATGCAAAATGACGTGACCAGCAAAGAATTACAAGCAAATACACAGGATTAAACAGATCACAGCAAATGCAGGCAGCACAGTCACTGAAAACGTCAGGCACAGAAGTATTTAATGACGTGGAGGAACGCTTAGACCATGAAGGGAAAGCACAACTTACAAAGAACATACAAGATGAACTCCTCCTATTTCAGTGTCATAAACATACTATTGCATAGATAGAAGAATGTGTATTTAACTGTTAAGATACATTTTAAAAATGACCTATTTTCAGTTTTGTCTCTTTCATTTGATTTTCTACATTTACTAAACTATATTTTTTTCATCATAAAAAAATCAATTCCATTTTTACTTCTCAAAAGATTTCCATCCAAATCCCTCTCTATCTTGCTTTTTCTTGGCCATCTACTTTTAGTTTTCAGTAATATCTACAATTTCTGGCCCTCTATTTAAAATTTTCTGTGATAGTGTACTATTCCAGAACTTCATGCTCTCTAGAATATTTTTTTTCTTCATCAGGCTTGATAATTTTTAAACATTAAAATTATTAAATAAAAATCAGTAATTATTGACATGTTTCCCTGCCAACAAGGCTGTCCAGTTCTAATTTTACCTGGTGGCAAATCCATGAAACACTGTCCTACATTCATTCATTCACTGATAAAGGGTGAAAACAACTTTTGAAATGATGTGCATACATGTTTACTAATAATCACAAAAGGTAACAGAATAAACTACTAAAGGTGTGTCTACCTGTACTTAGGTGAGAGGTCCTTCCCGTCCTCGGCAGGTGGTTCTGGTGGCGTTATGAAGACAGTGTGCTCACTTTTCTGTGAATCATCTAACTCCATCAATTTGGTATCTTCTGCTAAATCACAATCAACCTAAAAACAATTATTTCCTCTAATTAGTTGGCAAAGAGTGATATCTCATTCTGAAATTTTAACACTTCAGTCTTAGAGGAGAAAAACATACCTTATCTGTCTTTTCTGTGCCTTTATCAGGAAACAACTAGGCAAAAGAAGAGAGATTCTTTTCAGTATATGTGCTGCCGAAGTGAGCACAAAACAGAGATTCTTAATGAAAATATCCACGGTCTCTGAACAGAGACTTATCTTAAAACCGACTTATAAACAAAAATACCATCCTTCTTTAAGACCATTATAAACACAAAATATTTCACAGTATCTTTGGGGGCTCCATACTATCAGACTAAAACATATTTCTAATGACTAGAGGACAGAAAAGTTTATTTAGATTCTTTTGTAAATCCAGCTTCACAAACAAAAGAGGGTCACTCACAGGGATACTGGCTTCTCAAATGCTCTTCTAAATACTTTCAAACTTCTGCTTTAGTGACAGAAATTTTCTCTAAGCTTTACCTCCGCCTGGGGGACAGTGGCGACATCTCTTTTAAAAGTCAACAGAAACTGTCGTCTTACAGACAGCCCAGGAGTTCTAGGTCATACTGGAAAACCAGTAAGAGCTCAAAAAAGCTAGCTTTCTTAGATAATAATCTCGAGTTTTAGAGCTTGCTTGCATTAATAATGGCTCATGATCCACTTAGCAAAACTTAGAGCCCTGTTACAAAAGGAGACAATGTCAGTCATCACTATTAAGAATCAGCTTCTAACAAAACAAACAAACAAAAAGAATCAGCTTCTAAAGTACCTGAGGAGGGAGGAGGCGAGTTTTCAAATTTAACATATTCCCAACTACTCTCCAGCAGTGGCAAAGGTATTTGGAGAGACTTTGAAATAAGACAACAGCGGTAGGCTTTCCAGTACGCAGGAAAGCCAATTCTTTTAAATCAACCATTGGATCTTTTTTTTTTTTCAACTACTGGATCTTATTCATTTACATAAAATAGACCATTGCTAGGCTTGGGAGGCCGAATAAAATGTTCTTAGTAAGCAAGGGTTACAGAACCAAAGGGAAATTCAAAGGAAAAGAAAATAGCTATGCATGGTGTATGGTAAAAATTAGGTAACACAAACCAGAAAAAAAAGGGGGGGTGGGAGGATTTTTACACTAAATCCAGTCAGAATAAGTAATATATATACGCATTATATATATTACACACACATGTACACCCCTCCATCTTTACTCGTCGCCGCTTACATGCATATACTTTAAGATTTATTTCCCCTTAATATTGGTGTACAGAACAAACTTTACCTTTTCTATGCAGTCATCAAAAAATGCCAGTCCTGTATCTTTATCACTTACAAAACTGCACTCTTCAATGAAACGAATAAATATCTGTGTTTTAGATAAAAGAGTATAGAACTTTGTATAGGCACGATCGCGACTTTTTAAAAATCCTAGAAAACAAAACCACAATTCAAATTTTAGAGTGGAACAAGATGTTGTATCTCATATGTACATAAAACGCACTCACGTGTGTGGGGGGGCATTCAAAAAGCTGCCAGCAAATAGAAGTTTCTAATAAACAACGGCAGTCCCTGCTTGATTCAGCCAGTGCAGGAGGGATCTGCTGGCTCCTGCTTCTGAAGCGTGGCTGGGCATCGGTGAGGCCAAGTGCCCCTCACAACAAGGCTCACTGACACCTTCATCCCCCACTAGCAACCCTATGACATTTCTGCCACCAACTTCAGTCTTCTTTACCCAGTTGTGACAACTCTTTCCAACTTTTAAACGCTCCCTGCCAATGTTCCCCAGTCCAAGGCGCATGCCTTATAAGGCAGAGAAAATGGGAATCAGTCGATGAAAATGGACCTTCACTCTCCCACTAAAAAACATCACTAATCTTTTATTCCTTCCCCTTTTCTGTACCTTTCCCCTCTCTATCTCAGGTTACATCCGCCAAGTGAGCTTCAAACTGCTCATCGTGGGCTCCTTCTCCTAAGACAACAGGTGGTTTGAACTGCTGACCTGTGAACAGAAGCTCAGTGCTTAACTCTGTACCACCAGAGCTCCCTAAATACTATGGGGAAGGAGCTTCCAAAAATTGGTGGAAAACATAAAGATCAAAATAAAATGGAATTTTTTCCACCAAACATTTTGAAGCCCCCTTGCATATATTATAATTTAATATATTTCTAAGCACATTTCCAAGAAACTTCCCTGGTGAGTTTTTCTTGGAAGCCAAACCAGGTGGAAAATATTTTTCACTTCAATAAAAGCAACTGCATTTCCCTTGCCACTCACCCTGTCGGTCAAACAACGAATCAGCAGCTGTGGCTTTATTTGAGGGCGCCTCTGTGATTGGTCTGAGAAATGTTCTATATCCTTTTAAAATAGAAGCCATGAAACGTAAAAATGCCTCTTGAATTTCCATCTCAAGTTGGGTCATCTTCTTCTGCCAGGAGAAATCTGCTTCAATTGGAGTCATCTCAACTGCTGAACCTTCTTGGGTTTTCTGGTGAACTGATAAATGAAGTAGGAAGAGAAAGGGGAATTATATTCGCATACACAGAGTCGAAACAAAGCCTATGGTTTCTAGAAATCCCTCTCCTTGTTGGCTCAAAGAGTTCGTTGGCAGGGGTTATCGGGAAGCTCCAAACACACTTCAAGATCAGGAAGCACATCACTAATTTCTTCTTAGAATTTGTGTTATCATGATGAGACTCCTTTTAAATAAGCCAAAGCTATGTTTCAAGTTCTTACGAGGACTTTAATCACACACATTCTTTCATTAAAAATATTCTTTCCCCCCACATTTACCTGAGCAGAGCTGGGGACACAGTTTCTTTAAAGTGCCAAGGAGATTTTTACAAGGCTTTTTGGGAAGCTGTTTCCAGTTCATGTTCTTCTTCTCGTCTGATCTGATAAACAAGAACATAATCGATTTCTTGAAACTCTGTTTGTAGTCAACATTCTTATGTCAAGAGAGTCTTTCTTTACTGAAGTCACTCAACATGCAGAGCCTGAAAAAGTGCTTTTCAAGGGAGTTCTATTTTGGTTTCACTCAAACTCCGTCAAATGTGGTCCCCTCATTCTAATTTTTGATCTTGCGAGCTATGACCAGTACTAAAATCTTGCTTAAGTTATATTTTACCCCCCTCCCAGGGGGACGAACAACAGAAAAGTGGGTAAAGGGCGACAGAGGACAATGTAAGATATGAAAATAATAATCTATAACTTATCAAGGGTTTATGAGGGAGGTCGGGGGGGGAATGAGAAGCTGATATAATGGGCTCAAGTAGAAAGAAAATGCTTTGAAAATGATGATGGCGGCATATGTGCAAATGTGCTTGACACACTGGATGAATGTATGGACTGTGATAAGAGATGTAAGAACCCTCAAGTATTTAATTTTTGGAAGCATTTAATTTTAAAAGTATTTAATTTTTAAAACGTTTTATGTTACAATTATATTTTAAGTGTCTAATCAAATTGACTGGAAACTTCAAAATACCTATTCTAAAAATTTTGTTGTGCCCCAATTGTTAATGGATTATACGTAAGGAAGGATGAAACTCCTTACATTAATCAAAGTACGTTCAGTTACTTTACGCCGTATCCATTCGCACTGCCCTTTCCCAAGGCTTGAATATGAAAGGCTGTTCACTAGAACTTCCTAAATTAGGTTGCAGATCACATTTGTAAGAGGCACCTTGGAAAAAACTCCCAAACTCCCATCCCTGAAAACCCCAGTCTACACACACAGACGGCCCCGAGTCAGCACTCACTTAGCTGCAATTGGGTTTTAATAGATTCACTGGACACACCATTTATCAAAATCTCCAGAAAGTCCAACACGCCACCATTAAACCACTGAGTTCTACACCAGTTATCCAAGGTTCTATTACAAAGTGAATGGAAAATTCCAACAACCTTCATAAAGAGAAATTAAGACACTAATGTCAATTTATAAGACAAACCACTGGATTTTGTAACACCCTATCATGTTAAATATGGTGGTACTTGGAATCTTGAACTCCTAATAAAAATTCCTTATAGGGTTATATGTTTTAATTTCCAGGAAAAGTTTATGTGATACTAGCCTTTAGGTTATAAAAGTCAAATGAGTCTCAAACCCATTTCTTGAGTTAAAGGGGCGGCGGGGACAATTATTGGGGGAGAACTGTTCAAAATTATTTTTTAAATAGCATTTTCACCAACAGAAATGTTATATAAATGATTTTAAGTTGGGAAAAGTTAAGTATATTATCATCTAACTTGGTATGTTAGTCTGGGTGGACTAGAGAAACAAATCAGGGTAGGCTCACATGTGCCTAAGCAAGAGCTTTACATACAAGAGCAATTGAACAGTGAGAAAACATCCCAGTCCAGTCCAGATCAAGGCCATAAGTCCAATATGAGCCCAGATGTCCGATACCAATCTATAAAGTCCTCTTCAGACTCACAAAACACATGCAATGATGCCAAATGCAGGACGACCACAGGCCAGTGGGTAGAAAGTCTTGTGGATCCAGTGGCAGTAGAGGTATCTCAGTGCTGGCAGGGGTCTCCAAGTGGCTCCTTCAGCTCCAGGGTTCTAGAGTTGCTCCATGTCTTGTCAGCACCTATGCCTCACAGGGAGTGAGCATGTGTTCCGCCTCCAATGAGCTCTTTATCTCCTTACTGCCTCCAAGTGAGGTCATCAAGCAGCAGCCTGACTGACAAGGCTAAACTCCACCCCCTCACCCCTAAGTCTCAAACTGACAACAGATCAGATAACTACCACACTTGGAAAATAAGGAAACATCTGAGCTATAAGATCCTAAGTAATCATTCTCCAGAAGTACCTCAATGTGTACAAACTCAACATATTACATGTAGGAAAATGGTTCTCTACCTCCTGACCATAAATCTATGAGTGTGCTACAAAAAGTTGACGCAAAAATATATTAGGAGATTTTTCCAACTTTTCTAAGCCAAGGAAGGTACTGGAGCTTTACAGTTTCAAAACGCACTGTTAGATCCAGTTTAGAACTGGTGTCTAAGTGAGAGCAAGCATTTCTTCCTTCTTTAAGCCATTCTTTTGGCTAATTGGGCTAATTTCCCAATTAATTCTACTGCTGTGACCATTTGGGCCCCAAATGATCATTTTCTGCCACTCTCAGAGTAATAGAGGTCAGGACCAGAAAGTTGGCACCAACACAAGGGAATTTTCAGTGCTGACTTGTGTTTTGGGGTGTGTGGAAGGAGGTGCTTTACAGGCAGCATGGCTCTTCTGTCCATCCAAACCAGCATCTAGTTACTGTTGTCCATTACTCTTCGGATCCTCAGTTATATGTGCCTGATATATTTACCACTACCAGTAAACATAAGCTGTGACTCAAACTTTTAAAAAATCATTTTATTAGGGGCTCTTACAGCTCATCACAATCCATATGTACATCCACTGTGTCGAGGACATTTGTACATATGTTGACATCATTTTCAAAACATTTTCTTTCTACTTGAGCCCTTGCTATCAGCTCATTTCCTCCCTCCCTCATGAACCCTTGATCATTTATAAAAAAATGTTTCCCATGTCTTACATCAACCACTGTCTCCCTTCACCCATTTTCCTTTTGTCTGTCCCCCTAGGAGGAGGTTATACGTAGATCATTGTGATCGGTTTCCCCTTTCTTCCCCCACCTTCCCCTTACCCTCTCCTGGTATGGTTGCTCTCAATATTGGTCATGAGGGATTTATCTGTCCTGGATTCCTTGTGTTTCCAGCTCTTATCTGTACCTGTGTACAGGCTCTGGTCTTGTCAGATTTGTAAGGTAGGACTGGGGTCATGATTGTGGGAGAGGGGAGAGGAGGCATTAAAGAACTAGAGGAAAGTTGTATGTTTCATTCTTTCTGGTTCTGTTCTTGCTAAGAATTTGCTTTTCCACCCCAAATATTTTTACAAGATCCTTAGGGGATGCTTATAGATCCCCTGATACATACCTAAGAATCACCTGGGGGGTCTTGTTAAAATACAAATTTTCAGCAGGCAGTCAGACCTAAAAAGGGCAGCTTTGTGCTGCTGTTGACAGGTGCCGGCAAGTCAGTCTAACTCATAGCAACCCTGTGCACAACCGAACACAACACTGGCCAGTTCAGCACCACTGTCAGCTACTACGTTTGAACCCATCGTCACAGCCACTGTGTCATTCCATCTGCTTAAGGGACTTCCTTCTTTGGGCTGACCCTCTTCCAAGCATGATGTCAGTTCCCCCGGTATCACATCCGAAGCATGTGAGACAAAGTTCAGTTACCCCACTCCTAAGGAGCACTCTGGCTGTCCTTCCTCCAAAGTCCGGTTATGTAGCTTGCTCTTCTGGTAGTCCACAGTACTTTTAATATTCTTCAGCAACACGACAATTCAAATGCATCAATTCTTCTCCAGTCTTCCCATTCGTGCTCCAGCTTTCACATGCACATGAGGCCTCTGAAAATACTCTGACTGAGGCCAGGTCTACCTTAGTCACTTACAAGTAGCTTCCTTGCTCTTGAACACCTTAATGAGGCCTTGCACAGTTCTGCCCAATGCAGTACACATTGTGTGATGTCTGGACTGCTGCTTTCACAGCCGTTTACGAATCCACGTGAAACGAATCCTTGCCAGTGTCAATCTGGCCTCCGTTTATCATGCTGTCGACTGGGGAAGGAGTGCGCCAGGATCTGGTTTTCTTCACATCGAGTTGTATTCTTAGGTCTCCATCGGCTTACAGTCCTCTTTGCTTTCAGCAAGCCGGCTGGGTCATCCGCATGGTGCAGCTGGTTCATGCGCCTTCCTCCAGGAACAACGCCTGGTGAAGTCCAATGTAAGACGATTTGCTTGGCATACAGGTTGAATTAGTACAATGAAGGGCACAACCCTGATGCAGGCCTTTCCTCACTTTGAGCCCCGTAATAGTATACCCTTTGCTGTTTGTCTTTTGGTTTAAACTCTTTCTCACTGAGTCAGTTCCAACTCATGGCAACCCTATAGGACAGGGTAGAACTGCCCCTGTGGGTTTCCAAGAGTATAGCTCGTTACAGGAGTAGAAAATCTTAAGAGTGGCTGGTGGTTTGAAATTGCTGATCGTGTGATTAGCAGCCCCATGTAGTTGCCATGTTATGTTACTGGGACAGGGTAGGGTTTATCTTAAATAAATGCAAAGCCACAAGATCTCCAGGGAGCAAGAAACAAGTTACAGAGATAAGGACCTTCTCCCAGAGAGAAAGCCAGTGAGTGCCCTGAATTCAGACTTTCAGCCTCCTAACTGTGAGCAGGCTTCTCAGTCCCTGAGAAGGACATCATGCTTGAGACAGTGGAGGGGCAGTGAAAAAGAGGAAGGCCCTCAAGCAGAGAGATGGGCTGGGCGGTGGCTGCAGCAATGGGTCCAGCAGAGGAGCAGCGGTGAGGGGAGGCAGGAACAGGACCGGGCCGGGTTTTGTTCTGTTGAGCATAGGGTCGCTATAGGTTGGTCCCAACTTGATGGCACCTAAGTGCAACTGGGAGAAAATAAATGTCCATTGGTGAAAGCCAACCATCTGTGCTACTTCCATTGTAGCAGCACTAGATAACTGGAACTTCCCATTAAGTAAAGGGCAGGGCATCACTCTATATTGTGCCTACATTTTTATCTCAAATAGAAAGGCTTTTTTTTTAATTAAGAGATCATTTTACAGACTTATTTTTTTTAAACCTTACAATATGGGTTTGAATCAAATCCATAAGTCCTACCAGCTGTGTAGCGCTAAAAGATGTATTTAATTATCCCACTGCATCCCAAGTATTATCCAAATATAAACTACTATACTACTGAAGAAGGTGGGGGATTTTCCCCTCCTTTTCTTCAAAGCTTACAATTTTCCTGGATTTTGACAACTGCCATAGTGATAAGCATTGTGTTAAAGGTGAAGACTTACAACAACTTTCAAAAATAGTAACTTCTAGATGGTTTTAAAGGAAAGCTGCAACGGTATGTGGAAAAAAAAATACATGAGGAGGCGGCAATACAAAAAGGACCAACTTACATATATACCATGTTTGTATCCAAGTCGATGCAAACAACATCTTGCGGTGGGTCATGAAGGTCAAAGTATCTGGAGTCCACACCCACTATGAAGGGTAGAGGCGCACTGAGTACGCCAGCCAGGGAGAGGGGACACAGGGGGATGTATGGGCACTGCCACTGAAACGGAAAGATCATCTGGGGACAAAAAGTTCCACAAATTAGCCCACATGTAAATTGTCAATGAACACTTATCATGTGCTAAGCTCCTGGTCTTGCTAATGGCACACACACACACACACACACACACACACACACACACACACAACCCCTGCCCTCATGTAACTTATCATCTACCATGATGGGCAGCAAACATGTTGTGGTTGCTTTTTTTCCTCCTATAAAAGACAGTGCATAGTTTCAGTTTTGTGGGCCAGACTGTCTCTCGTACAACTATTCATCTCTGCCATTGTGAGCGTGGGCTATGTTCCAATAAGACTATTTACACAAAGGTGATGACCACAGTTTGGCCTGCGGCACTTGGTGTAGCAGGAAGAAACAGAAAATGAACACAAGAGGTAACGAGAGGTAAGAAACACACAGTGTCAGAAAATGGTAAGCATTTTCTGGATGGGAAAAAAGGACAACCAAGTAAATGGGAATGAAGCGTAGGAAAGGAGGGAAACGCGGGCATCCCTGAAATATGGACATCTGGCCAGCTTCATCAGGAGTACAGCGCAACTGAAGGCTGACGGAGGGCAGGCGGGGACTGAGTCAAGGGCTGGATGGGACAAGAATATTTCAAACAGAAGCGGCAGTTGAAGCAAAGGCCTAGAGACAACGCCGCCCCCGCCCACCCCCTGCGCCAACCTCCAGGTCATGTGCTCCTAGGAAGACAGCAAGGAGGCCAGTGTTCTGCATCTTTTAAAAGTATTACCTGGCTCAAAATGACTGCAAGTTAAAGTGAGAAAAACTAACCAAATATGATAATTGCATAATTGTAGGGTAATTGAAATCAGCCAAAGCCCCTTGCCAAGTGCAGTCGGCTTCATGATTAAGCATGCAGAGGCCATTCTCTGAAGAACTCGAAAATGTGCCCAGTGTGCAATGGACAGTTCCCTCAAAGAAAAACCATCTTTGTTGTCTTTTACTTTATCTTTGCCACTCCATTACGTTTCTGTTAAACTGTTGCTGGGCTGAGAATTTTCAAATTTGCTTTCTTTGGCAGAAATTTCCCTGAGTGAAAATTCTCAGTAATGATAAACCCAAAGGAAAATTCCGTACTCACAGCTACAACTGCTTCGGCGACGCCGGTCAGCACAGCCGGCCTCAGAGAATGAAGCAGAATTTTACTTTCCAGTAAAACAAAGAGCAGCAGGGTTGCGCAATTTTCAGGGCCCAAGTTCATTAACAGGGTGCTAAAGTTGGCTCCACTAGAAAAATCAGAGAAAAAAAGATGGTTGAGCTATCTTTAAGGCATTTTTAAGATGTTCTTATTATTTTCTATGTATTAAGGGATTAAAAATCTAGTATTACTTTCAAGTTCTGACTTAGCTACCACTGAAAATTAAGAGATTTAATAAGTAGAAGGGGAGTTAAAGAGAAGCTTTACTTAAATCACAGCCAATTCTCAAATTTTAGTACTGTCCAGACAAAGAATTAGGAAAATAAAATTCTTCAACTGAAATAATATATAGTATTTAATATTACATAATGCATTATATATTATATTTATAATATATATTTTATGACACTTTCTAGCAATCCACCCTCCAGTTCTATCTACTACAGATCCGCCCAACAAGCCAAGCTGGAAGGTTCGCTCATTCAACAAACATCTGAGTAGCAGGCATATTTACGTGCCAGGCACATTGTCAGGGGCTGGGAACACAACGGCCGGCAGAACAGAGAGTCAGTGCCTTCATGGATCGAATATGAACGATCACACAGAGACATCATTTAAAACTGCTCTGTGTGATGATAAAGAATGAGGCTAAGAAAGAACACGCTAGATAGGAAGACTTAAATTCATCTTTTGAGAACAGAGGAGTATTTGCGATCAGGAAAGTTTTTCCTGAAGGACAGCCATTCTAGAGCGGAGTTCGAAAGAACAGTGGTGGGGGCTATAGGGATGGGACAGGGGAGGGACAGACACAACTTACACCCTGAGGCAAGAAAAAAACAAAATCGAATACACCTATGGTGACCAAAGCTAATAGCCTACAATTCACTGCCATCGAGCCCATTCTGACTCATAGTGAATGTATACCAGGTTTCCTTGATTGCAAACCTTTCTCCATTGGGGCAGCTGGTGAACTTGAACCACCAACCTCATGGTTAGTAGTCTAACTCTTACCTGACAGTAATACCACCAGGCATAGTAAGAGGGGGTTAAAAATAGTGAAAGATTAGGCTGCGAAAGAAGTTATACTGCTAGAGCTACATCCTCAATAGCACACGCTGTATGCAGCATCGTAAGGAACAGAGGACATGAGAGGAAAAAAGACCAACTGTGAGGTTATTGGAGCCGTGTGTGGTGGTGAGAGATATTGACGGCCTGACCTAAGATGCAGAAGGAGAAAAGACAATGTACTCGATGGGGCACACTGAATTATGAACTAAATAGGGGGGGTGGAGAGGGTGAGAGGAAGATGAGGGGAGTCCTCCCTCCAGCCACTCCTGCAGCTGTCCTTAGTGAGCCCACAGAGAAGGCCTCATTGCCCAGGCAGCTCTCAGGCCACCCTCACAGAGCTTGTACAGCACTTAACATCGTTATTCCCATCCCGCAAACCCTTAAAAGCATCCTGCTCCAAGTGAATAAACAAATCATTTACATGCCATTAATTACCTTAGTGGCAAAGGTGTAGAAACTGGTTGAGATAATATCAATGCATCATGGACTGACAACTTCAAAGGGAAGGAAAAAAAAGAAACAAATCAAATCAATTTTGAAGTGAAAATATTGGGATCAAGGGTAAAAGGGGAAAAAAAGGGTAAAATGGAAACCAGTTTAATATGTACAAAGAGATATTTTCAAAACATGTGCATGTTGTCACAAGCGGTGTGCTTGTGTAGCTCTGCCGGACGTATCTCCCCAGAGGTGTTTATTAGTTCTTTTTAACCAAATGGTTAATTCAAATAAATGTTCACTCAGTTCACTGGTTAAAACACAGCTGTTTAAAATTAGTGGAATTACTGCTTTTTAAAAGCCTCAAATTCATTTCCTTAACAGGCTGAAATGCACTTGGCAATTGCTTCCTATGTGCCAAGGCTTGTGCTGAAGTGAAGTCCAGTCACAATTAACAATGTTTGACTTAATCCTTCCATATTACATATGTTTACTATGTTCCAGGAAACAAAATTTAAATAGCCTACCCCTATAGATCAGTGGTACTAAAAAAATGCCAGTCCATGGCCCACTGCCAGTTAGTAAACTGTTACTGGCCCAGGAAAATACCAAATAAAGAGCAGCCATTTACAAATTTCTATGGCTACCTGACACTGCTACCACATTCAAGCACGCAATCAACAGGCATGACTTTGGGCGGGTTTAGGCCTGCACACGTCTGCACTGTACTCAGTGTGAGTGAATTGGCCCAAGTTCCACTGGTGATTGGAAAACAAGGAAACTGGTCCTAAACCAGAAATAGACAACGTCACCTTTTTCCCCAACCACCACACAATTCAAATATAATAATTAGGTGCTCCAATATTAAGAGTATGCCCATAATTCTGGGCTTCCATTTTCAAAATCAACGACAGAAAGCCCAGTATGGACTACTGATAATAATTACCAGAACAGCAATTATTGCCGTTCTGTGTAAGGTCTCCAGAACAGCACAAAAGAATGCTGAGCAAAGAAATGAAAAGGGGAATTCAAGTACTTGAAGAATGCATAATGTTCTCAAACGCAAGGACCTAAGATTCCACTCCCTATACACAGGGAACGCCCTCCCCAGACAGGCCCCGTGGTTACCTGTACAAGAATTCTTGGTCCTTGTGGTGAAGGAAAAGGAATATTTTGCATAAAATGCGAAATGTGCCTGGAAAAAATTTGAAATAAAAATCACAATCTTAATTTAGTAATTTGATTTTTAACACAGCAAGTAATTCTTTCCATTATTTTTCATCCAAAATCTGACAGCTGTTTCCCTAAAGCTTATCTTACACAAATGAATTTACTTAATGTAAAGCAGTGCTCATGCCTCTAAATTTCTAGACTAAAATGTGCATTTCCTGAGTAAACACCTGTAGTCGCAATTAAATTGACATTAGCATTCCTTATTCTCTCCAGGAAAATAAGAGTAACAGCCCTGTTTTCATGAAAAAAGCCAGTAGAGGGAAGCACAGGAATTAACACTATGAATAGTATTTATCCCCAAGTCTACATTTATAACTTCCACTCAGACCACTCGCCTTCTCCATTTCTGCCCTTAGAAAACTGTCTGTCAGCTTTCTCTGAACTTTTTGGAGCTCTCTTTTTTTTTTTAAGTGTTTCATCAGGTTTTTATTTTGGTGAAATAAAAACGTATTTGTTTCTTTTTCTTTTTTCTTTTTAATCAATTTATTGGGGCTCATACAATTCATCACAACACATAGATCAATTGTGTAAAGCACATCTATACATTTGTTGCCCTCATTATTCCCAAAATTCGCTTGCCTCTTGGGTTCCCGGAATCAGCTCATTTTCCTTTTTTCCCCCCTTCCCTTCCTCCTCCCCTCTCCCCCATGCACCCTTGATAATTTATAAATTATTATTGTATCTTATATTACACTGTCCGGCGTCTCCCTTCACCCACCCCTCTGCTGCCCGTCCCCCAGAGAGGAGGTTATATGTAGCTCCCTGTGATCAATTCCCCCTTTCTACACCTCCTTTCCCTCCTGGTTTCGCCACTGTCACCCTTGGTCCTGAGAGGTTCATCTGTCCTAGATTCCCTGCGTTTCCAATTCCCATCTGTACCGCTGTGCATCATCTGGTCTAACCAGGTCTGCAAGGCAAAATTGGGGTCCTGGTAGTTGGGGGGTTTTTGGAGCTCTTATGAGGCAGTAAAATATAGTGTTATTTCAAGAGAGAAGAGTTGAATATTGATTTTCATTTTCACAAAACATCCATAGAACCTAATTTTTAATGTCATATTTTACTTCAGCTAAAAGATAAATCTATACATAAAAGTCATTAAACTTGAGTTTCAGGAGTACAACATAAGAGTTGAAACTAAATAGCCATGTCAAATAGTAACATCTTTCTACTCACACTTTACTATTCTTAAAGCTAATTTTTAAACAGCATGCATTTAACTCATTCAGATAATTACTCCCATCTTATCCACTAAGCTACTATGTTTTTGATGGCTTTCTATAATGTAAAACTTCTATATACTCTAGAAAAATCTGATTACAACCATTATACTTCCATAAAGCTCATGATGCCTATTGATTTGTTAGCAGGGTACATAAATTACTGGCTCTCATAAACTAATGTGCCACAAGAAAGCAGAAAACATATGGCTTAAAAGAGAAAAGTGGCTCCATCTATATATTTTTTGTGATTACTAAAGATGTCCAACGGCACAGGGAATTATCAACCAAGGGGTAAACACGCAGATTTTGTCAATACTAAAACCACAGACTCACTTCTTACAATGGATTAACTCACCCTCCCCAATGTGTACATCAGCTCGGACACCTTTCAGAGTTAGAACCTGGAATGAGGGGTGGGTGGACGGACGGACGGATGGATGGGTGTGTGTGTGTGCACGTGCACTACTACGTTTGTGTGTCCCCGCGAACCCGTACCTATTTTTCTCTTGGCTATTAGAGAAAGAACAGGAGGGGGAGCACACACAACAGTTGAGTTCCCTCCTGAGCTGAGTTCTCAAAAGACAATTTGTGACTGTTCTCCTCCCCACTCCTCAATTTTAAGTTCCCAGCCAAGGACTCAGGAGGAGGGGGAATCTGTAAAAAGCGAGCAATGACCCTTTCCCTTTCAACTTTGCTGCCAATGCCAAAAGTTCAGTCAACAGTGAAATATACATTTATACAGCATTTCTCTCCACCGGACAGCTCTTTAATCCTTATACATACTTTTCAATGGGAAGAGGATGTGGTCCAGACACAGAAAGTTTGTAGATAAACATGAGAAACTTTTTAAAAGCTTCAAAAAAGGGCCAGTGTGAGAGTAAACAAATGCATTTATTTGAATTGATGGACTTGGAGACCACTTTTCTCTCCACAGGTGTCAACAGGCCCAGTTGCATCAGCTGTTTTTCTGCCAGCAGCTCCCGAGAGTAAGGTTCATAGAACTGGATGGCTGCACCATACACCTAACAAAACCAAAGAACTCAAGTTACAGAACTGGGGTGGGCTTGCCTGCTCTTGAAAGTTAAGCTCTCTTACTACGCAAAACACATTTGCTCAGGGTGCAAATGACAAAGAGAAAAACAAAATGACAATTTCACTAGAGTTATTCATGTTTTGATGCAAATCCTAAATTTTTTCCACTGAGATCACACATTTCAGCATAGATCTTAAGCAAAAGTGGGTGATCCCCTCCTCTTGTAATTGGCTTTCATCCTTTTTAAAAAAAATCATTTTATTAGGGGCTCATACAACTCTTATCACAATGCATACACACATCAATTGTGTAAAGCGCATTTGTACATTCATTGCCCTCATCATGCTTAAAACATTTCCTCTCCACTTAAGGCCCCTGGCATCGGTCCTCATTTTTCCCCTCCCTCCCCGCTCCCCCCTCCCTCATGAGCCCTTGATAATTTATAAATTGTTATCTTGTCATATCTTGCCCTGTCCGACGTCTACTTTCACCCACTTTTCGGTTGTCCGTCCCCCCCGGGAGGAGGTCACATACAGTTCCTTGTAATAGGTTCCCTCTTTGGCTTTCATTCTTAACTAGGCTGTGAATTTTCTTTTACCTCAATCATTACTGTATAACAATTTTTAAAACTTGAGATAAGCAGTTTTTAAAACGGAATTCTATGATTTTTTAAATTTTCAAATTCTAATGAAATTTGCCTTTTCAGTTTTAGTCCCTGCTCCTTCAAGGAAAACTAGGAGGGGGACTTCAAAAAGTTAGACAAATTACATTCTTTTCATTTTTCTATAAACATTTTGAAGCCCCTCAATATTTATTTTGGCTACTAAAAATCCTGATCAGATAGATAAGCTAAAAAAGCTTTAGCGAATTTAATGTATGCAGACATTCTTACGAGTCTAAGGAGCCCTGATGGCACAGTGGTTACACATTCGGCCGCTAACCAGTTCAGCAGTTTGAAACGTCTTGCCACTCCTTGGGAGAAAGATGGGGTTTTCTACTGCCCCCTAAAGAGTGAAGTCTGGGAAGCTCCGTGGGGCAGTTCTGCTGTCTTGTAGGGTCGCTTTGAGTCAGCACTCAGCGATGGCTGTGAGCCTGGTTTTGGTGGGAGAGAGGCTGGTTGAGTCCATCTCTACAGGGATGCCATTTTCTTCTTGATCATTTTATTATTCGTTTCTCCTCTTACCAAGGAAGATCATGATAGAATTTTTTTCAGTAGTGATTTCATAATAGCTTTATTTTTTTTAATCATTTTATTGGGGACTTGTACAACTCATCACAAACCATATATCCATCCATTGTGTCAAGCACATTTGTAGCCCTCATCATTCTCAAAACATTTGCTTTCTACTTGAGTCCTTGGTATCAGCTCCTCATTTTTCCCCCTCCCTCCCCACTCCCCCTTGAAAATTTAAAAATTATTATTTTGTAATGTCTTACACTGTCCGACATCTCTCTTCACCCACTTTTCTGTTGTCTGTCGCCCAGGGAGGGGGTTATGTGTAGATCCTTGTAATCGGTTCCCCCTTTCTACCCCACCTTCCCTCCACCCTCCTGGTATCACCCATCACCACTGGTCCTGAAGGGATCATCTGTCCTGGATTCCATGTGTTTCCAGTTCCTATCTGTGCCAGTGTACATCCTC